TATATATGAAAATATAAACAATTTCCAACAGACAAATACACTCACCGTCTTCCTTCTATTACGAACTGAATAACACTCTACCAATTGCTAACTGCTGCAGATATATTCGTCTACTGATTTCATAGTGTGCCAGGCATTTCTTTTATATTAAACAGTGCGAGTCACCCCACCATGAAATCGTGAAAGGTTCACATTGCTAGTTGCTACCCACTAGAGATACCTGACATCACAGCCAAGCCTACCTCCCAACTGGATGCGATAACAGATGTCGATACGAATAGGCAGTGGTCGTTGCGCTCTCGTAGAGGGTAGACGCTAGGCAGACGGTCCTCGGCTGCCGTGGTGTCACCATCGATAACGGGGCTAGAGCGATGCGTTACGTCACAGCCTTCATGCATCGGGAGAGGTGAGGGCAGACTGATGAATACGCATTACTCAGCCATACGTCGTGAAGTGAACATCTTGCTCTCTTACCGTTGGACGGATGCTGCTGTGACGTCACACCTTTACTAACTTGGTGGGCTCACACCGATGGAACATTCATTACTTGAAGGATTTTCGAAGTATGCAGACGTATGTTTGTATCTAGACAAGCACATGATGAAACCCTGTTTCACACACACACACACACACACTCACCAATCAAATGTAATTACGTCACTATGTCACACACACATACACACACACACCCAAAAATCTCATATGAAAAAAAAATTCTGAACGATCCCTGCACCAGACCCTTCAAGGTCACATCGCCTTAATGTTACTAAACAACCAAAAAAAGCAATTAATACGTCATAGTGGTGGGGGGAGGCCCAGAACCGGCTGTAATCTGCTACTACGGAGATATTTTATTTCAGAGTACAAACGAGGATTATTTTTTTATTTGTGAGTTTATCATGAATAATTTGTGCAATAACAAAATGTCATTGAGTGTAACAAATCGAAAGTCAAAATTAGAAACATCAAAGTCAAAGCCTATTATTATAAGAATTAACTTTTTTCAATATCTCCAATTTTTCGAAAAAGAATGATAACTTATGATACATCACTGAAAAGGTAATATCTGGTTCTATCCAAGGGCTACCCAATGTAGCGCCCATTAGAAAAAATAAAGTTGATGGTGGTGACCGGAAGACGAAACGTTGGATAGCAAATCTGAAAACACCATTATATAGCAGGGAAAAAGTGGCAATGTGGAAGTGCAATTTACTTTTGAATTCTTCGAGAAATGAAGCCAGAAAAAAATAAAAACCATTTTCCGAAATTTCTGTTTTTTTCGGATATCTCCGGATATACTTGGAATTTCATAACTTTCTCAACGGCATATTGTTAGTCAGGTCAATGCGCAACTTTGTCCCAATTTAACCATCTTCGTATCTCTCATAGTTTCCGAGATTCCCTTGGTGAGGATCGAATTTGAAACACCCTGTATAGAAATGTAGGCTTTCACGGCTGGCGTCAATGTTTTGGTTGATTTTCGGATTTTGCTGTGGTCTTCTTTGGCAATAATCTCCTAACGTTTCGACTGCAACTGCGGCAGTTGTTACGTCGAGAAGAATACTTCGACCACGTTACTGAAGATGACCGCCGCAGTTGCAATCGAAACGTTTGGAAATTATAACGAAAAAGCACGGGAAAACCTGAAAACCAACCAAAACATCCTACCAGGATACCCTGCATTTTTGCAGGACAATGATAAATCATTAGTTACTGGTGTCTGTACATCGTTTTCCTATCCTCTGTTGAACGTCTAAGAAGACATATAGCCTTAATTGTGCTGTAGTTGACAATATTGGTACTAGAGAGTTTGACAATTTTTTTCCGTGATGTCGTTATCAATTTATTGAATTATTCCGCTACAGAGGTAACGCTGATGCTCTACTTTTAATGTCGGATTATTTTATAAAATATTTGGAGCACTATAATATTTCAATTCGATACCTATTCTGTTGCGACCTCTGCGTTTTAGTTTCGTAGTTTACTCATTGTTGTCGTTTTTCATTAATGTGAAATCGTTTTCAATTGGTAAAATCAGTGCATATTAAGATTATTTCTATCTTTTTTATTGTATCAGAGAATAAAAGGACAGACATACACTCAATGTGCATCAATTTCTTCAATCGAAAACACATTATAAATCATTTTTGCAACTGATGCAATTACACAAATGAAAAGTCCCATCATATATTTTTGTAGTTTTCCTATAAAGATACCTTAAACGAACCTCTTCTCATAATATGTAAAGCATAAGATGCACATAGAACCACATCATTACTGGGATCAGGGTCAGGAGGATCGTGTCTCCTACCACTTTAGACATGGCTAGATATCTAGTTTATCGATTCAGTAACTCACTAAGACACAGGAAAGGTCATTTAAACGAAAGTAAAGTCAGTTCATGCACTATATTCCTCCGGAAATTTATAAATTTTTTGACGAGTCAGACTCAGCATACACTGCCTAATCACTTCGGAATTGGAAAATTAATCGTCTAGGTTCGACGTCTATCGAACATATTAGAATTATTTCAGTTGGTAAAACAAAAATAAAGTCCTGTCAGCTGATTTCATATTATGTTATGATTTTCTGTGCTTCCCGTGAGCGAAAGTAATTCATTTTACTTATTAAAGAAAACTCCAAAACAATGAACATAACGTACGTTTCATATCAAATTTTACTTCAATCAGCTATTTATCGTTTGAGTAGTGCCATCATCGGTAAAAAGAGTAAATTATTTCCTATTCAAAACCACAGATGAGTAAACTTTGCATTGAAAAAACGAAGAATGAGAAGTTAAAACCCACACGCTAACCTAACAATCAAATCAAAACAAAACAAGCTGGAGTGCAAAATTCAAAATAATATCCAGAGGCTAGTTATTCTTTGTCGTAGACATTTAAAAGATTCACAAAATGGACAGTTTAAATGGGCATGTGATGAATTTAGCAAACAGTATTATTGGAGTCAGTGTTTTAGCAATGCCATATTGTTTCAAACAGTGCGGAATTATGTTATCCATACTTATGCTCATTATCAGTAGTATTGTTTCAAGATTAGCTTGCCATTTTCTACTGAAGTCAGCGATATTGTCCAGGAGAAAAACATTTGAATTCCTGGCATTTCACATATTTGGAAGTATAGGAAAGTTAACTGTTGAAATGGGAATGATAGGATTCCTTCTTGGAACATGCATTGCTTTTTTTGTTGTAATGGGTGATTTGGGTCCAGAGATTATCGCAGAAATCACAGATTCCCATACTACAGATACTATGCGTACTAGTATCCTAATGGCTTTAGCCCTTTTTGTTATACTTCCTCTTGGTTTGCTGCGCAATGTTTCAAGTCTTAATGGTGTATCAAGAGCTACAATAGGATTTTACTGTTGTTTGGTCCTCAAAGTTATCTTTGAAGCTGTACCTCATCTTTTCAGTGGTGACTGGTTCAAAAACGTGAATTTTTGGCGAATAGAAGGTATTCTACAGTGTCTACCAATTTTTTCAATGGCCCTCTTTTGTCAAACACAATTATTTGAAATATATCAGTCTGTTCAAAATGCCACACTGGAAAAAATGAATAATTTGATTTGTATTGCTGTGAATATATGTACAGGAGTATATATCTTTGTTGGAATTTTTGGGTATATAGCCTTCGCTGATAAACCGTTCACCGGAAACATATTACTGAGTTTTTCTCCATCATTTATGACAGGTGTAATGAAAATTGGGTTCATTATATCTGTAGCATTCAGTTTCCCTTTGGTGATTTTTCCATGTCGAGCAAGTTTATATTCACTTCTCTATAAAGAGGGTTACTCTTTACACGAAGGTGTTTCTAATTACATCTCAGAAGCAAGATTCAAGACCCTTACCATTATTATAGTGCTTATATCACTCATTATTGGAATCGTTATACCAAATATTGAGTTTGTACTTGGATTGGTTGGATCAACTATTGGTGTAATGATATGCGTAATATTTCCTGTGACTTGCTTCATTTCCATTTCACCGAAGAGTACTAATGAAAGACTTTTGGCACAAATAATGCTCATGGTTGGCATATTTGTAATGGTTCTTGGTACTTACAAGAATTTATCAACCATGAATAATTTTGAATCCACTATCATAAACAAACCTATGGTTCATGTAGACTCAGGTTTGTCTCATTTGGCAAACAGTGTGGATATATTACCAACTACTTCAAAAAGTGACAGCAAATCCGAGATGATTGTACTTGCCATCACTGAAGATAACAGAATAAAAGAAATACGACATGAACCACCTCAGCCTGTGGAGCCAGTAGAAGAAAGTGTTAAAAATAGTCTGCAGAATGAGGAAAAAAAAGTGACACCTCTTTTAGTGAAATTAGATATTCCAAAGACAATGCAGAAGGAACATAATTATTCAAAAATTGAAGAGGTTGATATTGAAGCAATTGAAAAGGAAGTCAAAGAGGAGCTTTCTCAAAACAAAGAAACACCAAAACATGATGACCACCAAATCCTAATTGACACCATACAAAAGCAGAATGAGGTACAAAAAGAAATCGTTAAACAGCAAAAGAAACTTATTGAAGTAATACAAAGTCAACAGAGAAAGAATGAAGACAATCATGATAGTGTCAAAGAAGAGAAACTCAAAGCAGTCAAGGAGATTGAAACCATAGCCCTAAAAGCTATAGAAAAAATCAGTGGAGGGGAAGATAGTAAAAAGGTTGTTAAAGAACTAGAAAAAAACATTCATGAAGCCGAGTGGAAAAATTCACCAGATCTCAAAAATACAGAAGTAAATGTTAATAGAATGTCTTCAGATGATAATGCAACAAAAATGGAGAAAAACGTTATCCCAGAAAATAAAATTGTCCAGAATGAAATGAACTCAGAATTTAATATCAAAGGCGATACAAATAGAAACATGATTCCTGAATCTTCAATTGGAGGTTCAAATAAAAATTTGCTTCTAAAAACGGATGTACGTAAAGTTGGTAATCCTAACGTTAATATTAAAGAAACTTCTAACAAAGAAATTGGTTACTTTAGGACAGAAAAACCTAAAAATGCCAAATATCTACAGACAAATCAACATGATTTCAATTATAACCAGAGATCCCATAATAATTCACCCATCCAGTTGAAAAACGTCACTTCAAATAAGTCAAACGATACAGCTCCATTATTTTTGAAACTTGGAAAAGCTGAAGAAAATAGGAAAAAATTTCACAAGAAAAAAAAATAACCTCTTCCTGTTGCAGTGGCAAATGGTTTGAAAGACGACAAATCTGTAGGTGAAAATACATTTTTGAGTGAAAAAAAACATGAAGAAAATCGTAATTTGCCAAAAAATCAATTACCAAACATTGAACAAGACATGAGAAGGGATATACTAAGTTTATCAACTAGAAAGTAATGTAATGAAGTAGTTCAACATACAGATGTCTGTGATTTGTATAATGTAATATAAATAGTTAGTACTCCATAGTTTGATTCATGTTGTTTTAACACTATAGAATAAAAGAAAACATGATAAATGTCTCCCTAGCTTATTAACGAATCTAGTTTTCAGACATCTCATATTCACCCAAAATTTAAGGGATTTTTAATTTAAATAAAAAGGGCTTGACAGAAATGTTCAAATCTACTCAGTTCAGAGTGAATTATAAAAATTAATTTTTGGGAAAGTGTTTGGCTTTCTACTACTCCATCATGATACAAAAAAAAAAGTGGGAATCTTCTAAAGGCAGGAAGGAAGCAATCAATTTCAAAAGAAATAATTCTATACATAGATGTGTAGATCGTGCAAAGCAGTAAATTTCACACAAACTGGAAGAAAAAATCATCCTGAAACAGCTACTTTCATGTAAATATTGAATTACACCAAAAAAATTATTTCGAAACAAATACTTTTATATGAACACTGAATTATAAAAAAAAAAACACTTCTCTACTCTGTTTGTATTCCAAACACTCGTTATGGAACTGAATCAGATATCATTCACAGCATTTCTATACAATAGTAGAGAGCCAAAAAAAAATTCCCAAGATTTATTCTGAAAATATAATCCATTCAAAAATAAATTTCTTATGAAAGTTCAAGTTTACTTTGTTAGATACCTACTTTTGCTGAAACTAATTAGTTGCCAGAGGCACACAATCCTAGTTTTTTTGATGAGACATTTTTGGCTGTCCGGAAACTGAAAAGGTGACTGAGAATAAAATCAATTCTAGACATCACTTGAATGAATATTTTTTGTACGTGACAAGTTTACGCATGCCTTTTTTAGTATTCGACAGTTATTTTTTGTCATTAAGAGGGTAAGAGTGCAAGGGTAAATTTCATTTTTAGTTTTATTTTTATCGAGTTTTCTTCAGAGCAATACTGAAAGATAACTGAAATAGTTGTATAAATTAATTTCACATCATCTACAAGGTAAGTATAATAAAGCAACTTCATTTAGCGATGTCTAATGCACACTTATTAGTGGATTTACACATTGGTTCATTTGAAACATAATTGATTACAATCAGTTGACTACAAAAGGGCGTTAAGTATCACAGAATGAACCTATTTGACCACAATAACTAGAAGTTCTCTAGGAAAATTTACAACAAAATGCCACAAAATTAAAAAAGACAATAATTTCCAGTTTCAAAGTTGAAGTTTATTGCAATTCCAAAGCTGAAGTCAGAATTGAATATATCTAATTTTATACCTTTTATACTTTCCTAGAACTTCAAATACTTATCTATTTGTCTAATATAAGATGTAATTTGAAAAAAGTAAAAATTTGTTGATAAAAAAATTATTATATTTTATATGTTAAAAGTAAAATTAATTGTTTTCACCTAAGAGATTACAAGTTAAATAGCCATTTATGATATGAGTGTTGAAAGTCAGGATTTATTTTGTGAGTGAAAAAGTTTGCGAAACGAGCGTAGCGAGTTGAGTACTTTCAACACAAATATCACACAAAGTGTTGTGTAGAATTGCCCTGTTTTCATAATACACATTTTGACATCACTTGTCCATTAAGTATTTTTATGTTATTACATTTGCTGTGAAGTGGTCGTGTCAGGTGACGCCGAATCACCTGGTTATCAGCAAACAGTATTGTTTACAGCTCACGCGTTTTATTTAAAGTTCTTGTTGGTGTTTAATGTCTTGCATAATGCGAAGAACAATAGTGAGGAATCGTGTGTTCCTGACGATATTGAAGAGGTTGCAAAAAGAGCTTCAATTGAATTGTTACCAAAAAAAATCGGCTCAGAAAATCGTGTAAAAAATACTTTTAACACTAGTGTTAATAGTTATTTATGTATCAAAGGAATTAGATAGTGAACAGAAGCTCCAGCCATACAAAAGAAGAAATTGTTTCCAGTGGCGGAAGTAATTTTCAGGGAACATTTCAAAATTGTACATTTATTATTTGTAATAACGCGAATAAATAAAATATGGTTCAGTTTTCATTTCTATTTATTTTTACTTGTGAAAGGTAGAGGGAATTATAAAATCTATAATGTCCCAACGGAGTTATGACCCTCTTTATTGATAGCGTAACTATGACGATATAAGCTTATAATATTCCGGTCAGAAATAAAAATATTTTCAACACGCTACTTTTAATACTCTTGACACCATTAAAAATGTCACTTCAAATGACAGTTGTACAAAATAGCTATTTATGATATGAGTGTTGAAAGTAAGGTTTTATTTTGTGAGTGAAAAAGTTTGCGAAACGAGCGTAGCGAGTTGAGCAATTTCACGAACAAAATAAAACTCACTTTTAACAAAAATATCATACAAAGTTTTTGGACAACTGTCCTGTGTTCATAATGAAACAGATACAAATATTTCAATAAACACATATTTTGGGGCAACTCTAGTCAGTTAACTATTTTCATGTTATCGCATTTGCTGTGAAGTGGCCGTGTCAGGTGATGCCGATACCAACAAACAGTATTATTTACAGCTCACACGTTTTATTTAAAGTCACATTTCAAGTTCTTGCTGGTGTTTATTGTCTTGCATAATGAAGACCAATAGTGAGAAATTGTGTCTTCCTGACGATATATTGAAGAGGCTGCAAAAAGAGCTTCAATTGAATTGTTACCAAAAAATCGGCTCAGCAGTACGACATCGCATATTCTAATTTTCTTAGCTGGTATAGATTTAAAAATGTCGAAGGAAGTTTCAGTGAGACCGTCTTCTTAGATCTAGAAGAAAAATCAAAAATATGGAACTCGTCAACTTAATGGAGCAAGTTTTCAATGAGAAAGTCGAGTGTGCTCGTTAAAAAAATAGTGTTAATACAAGCAAATATTTCAAGGTTTATAAATCAGGCGACAGATGAAAAATATTTGATGATGAAAGTTGCTACTATTTTCGGAATATATGCAGCCTGCCGGCATGAAGACCTGTGCCATTTATTAATAGAAGACACTAAATTAATGGATAAATCATTGATTGTTCAAATTTCAAATACAAAAACGAAAATAGGTCGTACTTTTTGCATTGTTGGAGAAAACATTGACTATTTTAATAAATACGTTGCATTACGCCCTTCTGTTATCAATCATCAACTTTTTTTTCTGAAATACTCAAATTATAAATGCAGTGCCAACCCAGATGGTATAAACACGTTTGGAAAAATGCCATCTACCACTGCTGAGTTTCTGAACTTCCCGGAACCAAAGGAATAAACAGGTCACTGTTTCAGAAGGTTTTCTGCTTCTTTGCTAACAGAATCAGTAGCTGAGGGTTACATCGATCAATCTATTTCTTATAAAAAGACTATTGCTGAAAGAATAATCCCAACAGCTAGCTCCAGCGTTACATCATCGTCCTCTTCACTTCAAGAATTACCTAAATGTTAATGCCCATGAAATTCTCAACTCAACTAGTTGAAATATATTACAAGAATTTTCAACATAGTAAGGTATTAATATTAGCAGGTGTTCTATTTGTACTTTTTATATTAATGTTCATAAATAATAATAATGTAATGAAGAAGTGTAATAGTGTTTATGTGGGACAATGTGATCGAAATTTCCAAAAACGGTATGCTGAACATGAAAGGTCCTTCAGACTAGGAAAAAATGATTCGACGTTTTCAAACCATTCCTTGGCATGCAACCACAAGTTCCCGAATCTAAACAATACGGAAATTATCAGAACAATTATTTAGAATCCTTGTAAAATCACAAGCATAAACATTGCGGGTGTAACCTGTTAAATGATCACATCGATTTAGTTTACTCACCGGTTTTCAAATTGGCACATCCGCATTGTAAACTGTAAATTCAGGTACCTACTCAATCAAGCCAAGTACCTCTATTATTACCTACAGGCCAAGTACCTCTATTATTACCTACAGGGGTTATATATAAGGGCTAATGTAATAAACCATTGTTAGTTTAATGTATAAGTTTGAAAATGTCCTTATAGGACGTTAGCAGTAACGTTAGCTACAAATGAAAGTGGTAAAAAACATAAAAAGTTTCAATTCTCTTTTCTTCATTATAATTTCCTACCACGTAGTAACGGCTACATTCATCAATTTAATAATAATGTAATTAATGTATATAATATATGTGTAATTGTATCTAAATCTATTGTTCATAATAAAACTTCCTTGAAAATTGAATAATTATGTTTTGTTTATTGCTATTGGTCGAAAAAAAAACGTGTTAAACATATTTTTGAAAAGCTACTTTGTAAACATCATCTTTCAATACTCTTGACAACCATTAAAAATATCACTTTTAATGACAGTTGTACAAAAATGAAATTTAATGCGGGAATAATATGAATATTAATTTTTGAAGGTACTGAAGTAGAAAATGAGTTTTAGCTGTATACTATAAGTGTTGCACGTGAAAATCTTGAAAAAAGTGAAAACAGTAATCCAATTCGAAATTTTTCAAACTCGATAGGTGAGAGTTAAAATTTTTTGTCAGAAATGATTATTCCTGTCGAGATTCATATCTGGGAGATCCTACCTGCAATAATTTCTGCCAACCTGCAAGGTTTATCTTGAATCTTATGAGAATTTTTTTTTTAAGCCTGATGAGTTGTTTGAAATTTTATCTGTCGGAAATAAATAATTTGGTCGAGTTCCTTATCGGGGAGGCCCTACTTGTATGAATTTCAGCCTTCATCAAGTGTTACATAAGCAATTTTTACTGAGAACAATTTGCAGACCTGCAAAATAGTTGTTTTTATTTTTTTTTTGTACAGGTTTGGTTAAAAAAGACATGGACAATGTTTGTAGAACTTGCCATATGGAAAAATTCACAAAACGTCAATGTCAAATTCAGAAAATAGCATTTTGATGTCAAAGGATCCATTAATTGAAAATTCCAGCAATTACAGGACAAGGTACATTGTCATTGTTCAAAAGATTAGCTGCTTTGAAGAACTCCACCAATATTGTGAGGAGAATCCCCAGATCAGCTAGAATTTGCGTAGTATCCGTCTTATCTGAGGTCATCGATGAGTGTGTAATGCAGAACTCCTTTTCCAATTGGTAAAATCTACTTTCACGTTCAGGGTTCTCTCTATACAATATTCGAAAGAGAAGAAAAAAATATCTCTAACAACATTGATAAAACCATGGCTGGCTATTCCGCCAGCGATTGCAAAACGACTCAAAGGAAATATCTCAAAAATTATTTTGAATAAGGGTGAGGAGGGCGATATTTCATCTGCTATCAAGATTCTTAGTTCTAACGATACTCATGACGATACTCAAAATGATATTTTATCGAAGCTCATTCTTAAACATATCCAAGCCGACTCAATATCAAATGCATCTGAACCTTCACTTGATCAAACAAGTAATTCAACATTTCAAGTTCCTTAACAACTTATACTTGCAACAGTGAAAGCGTTCCGCACTGGATCAGCTGGAGAACTAGATGGCTTTCGTCCAAGTCAATTGATAGTGATGATTTATTCTCAAGAAACATTACATGTTTATGATAGAGAATTTAACATGTTAACTCCAACTGGAATTTCAGAAACTATTGGGATTATAATGCTTCCGCTTCTACCAAGATCTTTGTTGCTGCGACCTCTTACAACAATAGAATATCTCGAAGTATCCATTCAGTGAATATACATGAGTTATATGTTCTACTTTAAAATTCGATACTTTTTTGCATTGAAATTTCAGACGTTAAACTGACGTATGAAAAGTCACATACAAGACCTTCTCAGTTATAGTGCTAGTAATTCTAGAGATAAACTACTTACCTACTTCTATGACAAATCTTTGTAATCTCTTATTATCTGGGAGAGTTAATCCAGAGATTTGTCCAATACTTTACGGTGCATCTCTCTGTGCTCTCAAAAAGAAAAACGGAGGATTACCATAGGTACTTTCTTTCGCCGGTTAGTGGCCAAACTAGGTTGTTCTTGGATTAAAGAAGACCTTGGGTCCATTTTACGTCCCATTCAATTTAGTTTCGGTACTCCTGGAGGATGCGAAGCGGTCGCCCATGCAGCACGCCGATATATCCATCAACATTCAAATTCGTTATCGAAAATTTTCCTTAAGTTGGATTTTAAAAACGCATTAAACGTGATTGACAGAAATTTGATATAACAACGGTCACAAGAGTATTTGCCAGACCTGTACCCTTTTATATATCAATGCTACAGATTTCCAAGTTTTTTAAATTTTGGTGAACATTTGATTGAATCTCGGAGAGGTGTCCAACAAGATCCTTTTGGACCTGCACTTTTCTGCCTGACCATTCAAGAGCTAACTAGAAAAATGAATTCAGAATTCAACTGTTGGTATTTGGATGACGGATGCATTGGAGATGATATTAACATTATATTTGTACATTATATATTAATATATATTTATATTATATTGAAAAATTTGGAGATAATTATTAACAGTTCAAAACAAATGGGTCTCGAACTTAACTTCGATAAATATGAAATAATTTCCAATTCAAGTCTTGAATCAGAATATCTTACCGACATTATGAAAGTTGTTCCTGATATAAAACTAATGGAAAAATCGAAATGGGAACTACTTGGCGCCCCTCTCACTATGGAAGCTCTATGTGAAAGTTTGCAGAACAGAATAGATTCCCTTGACTTGATTTCCACCCGTTTATACGATTTGCCAATGCATTCTTCCTTTTTTTTTATTGAAAAATTGTTTAGTCATTCCTAAACTACTCTATACTCTAAGATGCTCTCTTTGTTGGAAAAGTCAAGTATTTAAGAAGTTTGATGATCACCTACGTAACATAATCGAAAATGTTACCAACAGCTGTTTCATCGATATTTCTTGGTCTCAAGCAACATTGCCCGTGAATCGTGGAGGGTTGGGTCTGCGCTCAGCATCATCGCTGGCTTTACCAGCATTTATGTCTTCCATCAACAATGTTTCGCAGTTGATAGAAATGATACTTTCCAGTTTATTTTACCAATATAAAAGATAATTTAACCGTCGAAAGCGAATCTATTTGGTGTTCTCAAACCAAAAGCCATGTGCTTACGGATCTCAAATCACTTCAGAAAGCATGGGACGAAACTTTACTAGAAATTGATTCTGACTTTATCACTTCATCTTTGTCATCTCCCTCGCCTCAAAGCCGTCAATATTAAAGAATCTGGTGCTTGGTTGAACGCATTACCTGTTGCTACTCTGGGAACATTACTAGATGTAGGTAGCCATTGGACTCAGATTGGGTTTAGATATTTGTAGGTACTCCTCATAAATATATTTGTGGTAGTGAGGTAAATGAAAAAGATACTCATGGTTTGAGCTGCAGAAAGAGCTCTGGACGTTTTCCAAGACATCACCAAGTCAATGACATCATAAAAAAGGCCTTGATATCAGCCGGGATACCTTCTATCCTAGAACCACTAGGTACTAGCCGTGATGATGGCAAACGTTCTGATGGAATGACCCTTGTTCCTTGGAAATGTGGCAAAGCTGCCGTTTGGGATTTTACATGTGCAGACACGTTGGCTCCATTTCATTTAGTTGGAACGTCCAAAAGTGCAGGTGCTGCTGCCATAACCAGTGATAAAGCAAAACAGCAGAAATATCGAAATCTTGGAAACAATTTCATATTTTATCCTGTGGCTGTAGAAACTTTCGGTGTATTTGGGTCCTTATCTCTGAATTTTGTCAATGAAATCGGCAGAAAGATGACTGAAGAAACTAAAGAAAAAAGATGTACCATCTTTCTGATCCCAAAAATTAGTTTAGCTTTCTAGCGTGGTAATTCAGCTTCTGGTTTTGGCATCATCCCATCGTCACATTCACTGGATGGAATTTGTCTTCATCCCTTTGTTTACAAATCCTATTTATACCCTAGTCACGATGGAAGATTGTTTCCTCATAAAACCTCCTATATTCCTTGTGATACTCCCCACAATTTCCCATCAGAAGATACAGAGAAACATGAACAACGTGTGTGAACAATATTGGATCAGAGATACATTCTTCAGTCAAAACTCTTGGGTTTAATGGATTGAAAAATATTGGAAACACCTGTTTCATGAACAGTATAATCCAATGTTTATCAAACACGAGATGGTTGTTGGAATATTTAAAAACAGATACATACATGGAAAATATCAATACTAGTACTTCTAGTATGAAAGGTGCTTTAATCAAAGCGTTCACAGAAGTCATCAAGGAATTGTAGTCAGAAGTTTCATCTGATAGAGTAATAAACACTGCCTACTTCAAAAGTCAGATTCAAAGATTTGCCCCTCGATTCATGGGATCTTCCCATCAAGACGCCCAGGAATTCCTTCGATATCTTTTAGAAGGTTCACATGAGGACTTCAATGGAATTACTGAGAAACCTAAACCGATCTTAACGGAGATTGACGAAAAATTGAGCGACAGCGGAAAAGCGCAAGAGTCCTGGCTGAGATACATGAACATGAACAACTCTAAGATTGTAGACAATTTCGTTGGTCAATTAAAATCGACTATGAAGTGCACAAATCAGTAACCTTCGATCCTTTCTGGGATTTGTCCCTCCCTATACTACAAAGAACTGGCCAATTGAGTTTGTCACAATGCTTGGATTTCTTCACAAAAGAGGAAACCCTGGATGGAGATAAAAAACTAACTTGTTCGAGGTGCAAGGAAAGAAGAAAATGCACAAAGTCCCTATCGATCCATAAGTTTCCCCGTCATTTAGTAATTCATTTAAAAGGATTCTCTTCAACGGAAAGATTCAGAGGCAAATTGAATGTTGCCATTGAGTTTTCTTTAGAAGAATTAGGTATGAGCAATTATGCAGCAGACAATGTGGCTCCTTGTCGTTACAATGTATATATGCGCTTTCGAATCACAGTGGGACTACTTACATCGGGCATTACACAGCATATTGCAGATACCCTATAGTGGCACGTGGAATGAATACAACGATTCACAAGAGTTCCCAATTTCATCAAAATCGCTTGTGAGTGAGGAAACATATGTCTTCTTTAATGAACAGAAGGAAACAGCAGCACTTTTGAGGTGTTTTTTCTTTTTCTTTTTTAATAAGCTAAATTCTGTTAATTGATTTGTATTTCATGATTCTTTTGATTAATAAATTTTACTATTCGGTTAAAAAAACCCTAACTCTTCCTAGATTTTCACCGGTAGGTCCTCCAAAAACTGACGATATAACATTGAAACTCATTTTCTAAGTAAGGAATATTAAAAACATACATTTTCAAGAGGTATCAAATGACCCCCAGAAAATTTATCATGAGCTTTGAGCTTATACTCATCTTAATGACAGAACGTCTTCGATCTACAGAGTGTATAAAAAATAAAACTGAATCGTCAATAAGAAACCCAGATCTAATTTGCTAGACAGGTACCTACCTACACGAACTTTCTGGACAACCTGAAGTAATAAGGGTAATTTAGAATCTGTTTGGAGGTTTCAGAATTTATTTCTATTCGCTTTATCGGTTTAGACTTTAGATTGTCAGCTGAAAGAAATGTCATCTGACATATTTGTCCATTTTCATATAATATTGACTTTTTACGTTGAAAGTGCTAATTGATTCTTTCATAATTGGAATCCATTTGAATGATTTCACTAAATAATTCTACAAGAAAGTTTGAAACCCATAAATTACATATGTTGATATTATATGGATAAATACGAACAACTTTGTTATAATATGAACAATTTTCACCGATTTGATACTATTTCTATTTATCTATTTGATAAAATATTTATCAAAACTAATCACAACTTTTCATATTTATCATTCATTGATATATCCATCATATATTTTCTCAATAATAATTTTAAAAAAAGGATTAGAGCTCTCTCATAATCAATGATTTGTATTTGCCGCGCTTCAAGCGTCACGTGATCCGGCCTTGATATGCGACTGGACGGACTGGAGGCTCCTGCTTGCAAAAGTTGACTTGATACATAATAAAAGATGGTGGTTAGTGCCCCTTTCATTAGCTGAATAACTCAGACCTTATGAACAAAATCCGAAAGATAGTGAATCGTTGTTAATAATAAGTCTGAACATGTAGTGATTAGTCGAATTAGGTGCGTAATGTTTCCTGAAAAGTTAATTCAACTAGTTATGGGCGGGTTGAAATGTAGTCCAACTACCTACGATTTCGATTGTCTTTCTTGTTTATTTTGAAACTGTTTACTTGCTAGTGCGCGGAATTGTGCATAACAAAGTCTAATTCATTAAATTCAAGTAATTGATGCTAAATACTTAAACTCGCACAAAATTGTTAATATTTTCCCTTAGTCTCTTCTGAAATGAGTGTGAATGAATGCAACATGTGATCCTATTTTGATTTTTATTAACCCCTAAAAAAAGTCTATTTCCCATTTTCTATTCATAAAAAGCTTTTTTATCTTTAACACTAAATTTTGTTTTTAGGTTACATATGAATAGAAATATGAATGGGAAACCAAGTACAACTTGAGATGCAAAATAGACTGAAAAATGTACATATTTAACATAGTATGGAATACAAGAACTCCAAATAAACAATCATGATGCATTGCAATGAAAACAGTAGGTACATCGTTCAGGTTTATGTGGGGGCCCTATCAGCTCTGTACGAAGCCCTCTCAGTAGAAGCTAGCAAGCAAACAACATCTGAAGAAATTGTTTCGTGTATAGTAGAACGATTATCACTGAATGATAGTGCTTCCTATGAGTTGACAGAGGTAATAGGAGATAGTTTCGGACAAGAATGCAAAGAGCGGAGCTTGTTACCAAATGAGAGTCCTGTTCAACTTATGATACTCTGGCCTAAAAACAGACCTGATCAAAGTTCGTTTAAATTTTACTTGCGAGAAAAAATAAATGACTATGTGTGGAGGGACCAGTTTGTCATGGATCCACAGCTTATCAAAGACTATTTTCATAGATTTCTCTATCAACCTAAGGATAGAGAATATCCTGACTTGTGTCAACTACCAGATTTGAACGAACAAACACTACTAGAAAACCTTAGAGCTCGGTTTGTCGCTGGGCATATATATACCTATGTGGGCTCAATTCTCATAGCTCTCAATCCTTTCAAATTTTATCCAATTTACAATCCAAAATATGTTAAACTCTATCAGAATAGACGTTTGGGGCCCAATTTACCACCACACATTTTTGCAGTGGCTGATACTGCTTACCATTGTATGTTGAAAGACAGAAAAAATCAGTGCATTGTTATTAGTGGTGAAAGTGGTTCGGGGAAGACTGAAAGTACTAATTTTTTATTGCATCACCTGACTGCTTTAAGTCAGAAGGGATCTCATGGAAGTGGAGTGGAACAAACAATCTTGAGTGCGGGGCCTGTGCTCGAAGCATTTGGGAATGCAAAGACGGCTCATAATAATAATTCAAGGTGAGTTCATTTCATTCTTTTTGGTCCCAAATGAAAAAAAATAGATACCTACTACAAATTGAACTTGAGGTGTTTTCTGGCATTCAATCATATTCAAGCGTGTATTCAAAAACGATTCATAGTGATGTCATTAATTATAAGATTTGCCAGAATGTGATGATTCAATTTATGTCAGATGTCAAATTCAATAATAAACCTCAATTAGAATTAGATTTGTGCATGCAATAATTTCCCAACTTTATTTTGCACATCCCTACAACATATTTTATAAAAAAATTTCGGCACTTTATAAACTATAATGATAAAAATAAAACAGAAACTGACAACTGACATAATGTAACATCAAATTTTGTTTCAAAACCAACCTCACGCTAGTTTTAAAATATCATGAATACGGTTCAAATCATAGTTGATGTGAAGTCATCGTTTCAATGCCAGAATGAATGTATTTGAATCACAGACGAATACGTTTTGAATACATGAGCGCCTGAAAACACCTTTGGCTTATTATTGAGGGTGAACCTAATTCAGGTTACATGTAGCCAGTCCAAAGAAAATCTAAAATGAATTCTAGAAAACATTTTTGGATCCTAATAAATTATTCTTCTGGTGATATCCTCAGATCTTGATATGCATTGATGAAAAGGGTTTCAAAGCAAATAAAATAACAATTTTCTATATGAGATTGATTTATTTCTCTTATTCATTGTTAAAATACGGGATCACAGCTTCCTATGACTAAAAATTATGTTTCCATATTTTCTTAAAATAAGCTGTTGATAAAGTAGGTCAATGGACTGTCATTCCATAGAAGACTATATAATTTGATAATTTTATAGAGGGTATTCCCTATTCGATGGTCTATTAGACGTATCTAGAGAACAAAAAAAGATGAGAGTTTCAAATTTTATTTACCGATGTAGATGGCTGTGATCTATTGATTGAAAATATTTTCATCACCGCATTGTTGCCGCATCTGCATGTAATAGCCATCAACTTGGAAATTTAAAATATAACACCCTATATATTATATCATTTTTGAATTCTGCATCGAAATCAAAATTACTTTTGTAAATCATGTTCTATACCTATCTCTCACCGTTTTTAAAATAATAATTATTCTGATCAGTGTGAAAGCAGCCACGAGTTCTAGCCATGAATTTGTCAATGCAAAGCGGGAGATCCGCTAATCAGCGGCTCCCAAAATTCGGAACAAATCAATGGCCAGCCATGAATTTACTGAACAACCTGAAATGTATGCGATTGAAAACAAGTATAACAATAAATCCTCCATATCAAAAATTGTCGAGAATATCAAGTCATTAGAAATTGTTGGAATATATACATATAAGTTTAAAGAAAATCCATGATTCATCAAATCCATAACTTATTAAAATATTTCGTGGATGGA